GGTTTTCAGAATGACGAAACGCGGTTTTGTATTTTAAACGACGATATATTAGTGGATGGTGTGACCGTTTTAAAGCTAACTCTGAATATAGTACCGAAAGCCGGAAAAGCCCTGAGAGTAGAACTTCACGTCAAGCCTCTTAGATGGTACGGTATCAGCTCTCACGCCGTGATATAAAACTAATTGTAAAGCAGAGAGCCTTGAAAGTTTGTTGTGGAGTTGTACTCAGTACAATAGAACTTCACAAACAATGTTTTTTATATATTCAGCGCTTTGTAGGCTTTCAGCAATCAATTCAGCTTAAAAAACATACATCCATACATAGCTGTACCAAGCGCTGAAAGCCTAAACACCGTTCAAAGTTTAAAACCTTGGGGTGGAGTTCTATTTTACCTAACAATTACATATATAGTTTATTTATACACATATAAAGTATATTTATACACATAGGCCCGTAGTCATAGTCAAAATAAAGTCGACTTTAAAGTTAGTTGCAGCTTTTTTGACAGATATCCCATTGAAAATTATGTCAAAAAGCTGCAACTAACTTTAAAGTCGACTTTATTTTGACTATGACTACGGGCCATAGACTTCTGGTAAAAATTGCAATTCATCAAATATTTAATGCACCTCAAAATTACAAAGCCGAGGTAAATACTCGAAATTATGTGTGGCAACTTCAATTCTAAATAAATAGTTATTAGATACGGCAACACTAAACAAACAACAAATCAGTCGCCCTGTACTTCCGGTAGTGCGTCCAATGAATTTCCAATCTAGAGCTGCGAAACTATCGATTTTAAGCAACAAAATCACACGTTGCAATTGTAAATTTTAAACAATTTACAAAAACGTGGAAACTTCGAGTTTGTCGAGTCACCAAAATTTTCAGTTTTTTAATTAGATTTCTTAATTTTTATTATGCACTTTCGTAGTCCATTATGCTTTAGTAAAATTGCAAGTTTGAAGTAGCTAGGGCTTACTGTAGATTTTTGGCAATTTTATGTTTCCGATAGTATCGCGATAGTAGCAACCATTCATCGATAGTCGTGTCAAATTGAAACTATCGACAGTGCGTTCGATAGTTTTGCAGCTCTATTCCAATCACAACTTCAATTGATTGGGTGGCAGCACCGCAAACAGCTGGAGAGCGAATGAACCATAAAGCAACATAGCGATGTGACAGTGAGTGATAATTTGTCAAGACGAAAACATAAGAATTTTGCCGTCTGAAAGTGTCCGGGGTGATTGCGTTGGCATAAATATATAAAAGGGAAACTCAGGCACATTGACAACAAATATCCTTCGCTCGTTTCACCTATCATACACATAAAATCAATCGGTCGCCCTACGGTTTTGTTAATTTCAACTGATACCTTAACCGTGCAGTGTATAAGTAAAAGATAGTGATCCTAAACGGAAACTAAAAGTAATAGCAACGAAACGAATATATGAATTGAATTACAAGTTCCGTGCATGCAAATTATATGCTAATCGAATTTACAGCACTTTGCTCCCAACACTTCTTTCAAGTACTTATCACCTGCTCGCGGTATATACAAGATGCTGAATCTTCAACGTACAATATTTTATGTACTGCTGTTCTATGTCAACACCGTATTGGCATGGGGTAAGTTAGAAATATAAGGCTTTCGAAAAGATATCTATCACTTACAGGTAAACGTGCGTGTGAAATTATACAATGATGTTGTATAATGGACAAACAGCTGAATGCAATGTACTCTTGAATGCCATATCTAATCGAAATTTTGCATTGCATTCTATTTGAATGGCAAGATTTTCAGCAAATGTTATACATATGTAGGTATGTGCTGGGCACTGAAATTAAGCTAAATTCGTTAGGTTAGGTTTACTTATTAAATAAACTGATAAAAAGTTAAGAAGCCAAGTGCCGGTTTCTACGTGCGCAAATTGGAAAAGATAGTACGTATTATCAGTACATTTTGCAACCAACGATTCAATACTTCCACGCATGAAGTTCAATGTTACATGCATTACATGTGCATACATAGAAAGAATCACGCAGGCACTGAGTTCTTATGTAATAAGAAAAAAATAAAAGTAAATGAGAAAATTTAAGAAATGCACATTCTTGGCAACATATTGTGGACTTTCTTGGAAATGTATGGTGAGCTCTTAGTTCAAGGTCATGCGCTTTAAATAATTTTGCTAAGAGATTATCAGAAGTATTAACATTCAAACACGTGCGTACACATATGCGTTTGCTTTATACTTGCGTATCCATAAACGCAATAAAGGTTAATTATAAATTATGCTTTGAGAATATCGATTTTTACTTCCATTTTCTTATCAATACAAAAGATACATTTTAAAATATGTACTGATAACTGAACTCTTTCTTGCTGATCACTAAACAATTGCCGCTTTATTTACAGCAGTAATACGCCTTGGATACCACCAGTCTTCTGTTAAAGCAATCATACTGCAGAAATTTGTGCTTATGTATATATGTATGTAAGCATTAATTTTGCCGATTGGTTTTTCATTATGTACATACATATGTACATATGTATGGATTTTGTTTATGGTGTGATGAATTACAGTTTTGCCGGCAAAAGCGCCATAGCGGTTGTCATTCCGGTCACGTATGCATTTCTTTTCGCTCGCAATACGCAAGCGGCTCTTATAGGTATTGTCTTCTTTTTGCAACTATGTGCTTATTTTCTTTTTCTTGTAGGTTTTCTTTAAACTTTACACCAGCAATATCAATGTGATTATCAATATTAATAGAGTAAACATTTAAAAAACGTTTGACTTTGGTTTTAACTTGCTACATTAGCCTTTTTATCGGTATCGCATATCCGGCGCATTGCTAGTGAACTTTGCCATTACTGAACACTGCACTTTCCGCTTCCGTTCACTAAAGCTGTTTATTCTGATTATGATCGTATCTATTTAAAATTTAGCGATTATAAAAATGAAGAAGTTATCAAATATATACTACATACACCCGAATTTAGAGAGACCCTATCTCACATCGTCGATAAAATAAGATGTATCTAGCTAGTAATCCAAAATACACTTTTTGCTTGATTACACCGACAAAAAAAAAATGGTGTGTGCTTTTAACCAGATCCACCTAGGGACATGTATGTATTTCGACCCACTGAATACGAATATGTGCACGAGTCAAATGGGCCTCAGATGCAGATTCAGCGCGTCGAAATATATTTCGGTTGTTGGTGTTATAGCGGCAACAACAACCCCGCCCAGATCGGTTAATATCTCACTCGTTGTCATCAAGTTCCACAAACGGCAGCCCTAAGAAGCGTGCAGCGTCAATAGCGTCGGCCCACAGAGACAAAGGCGTTAGGGTTGTTGGGTTTTCCGGGCATAGGAAGAGATTTTTCCAGTCATGAGGTGTGTCTCCGCATGCCGGACACTCATTCAGTAGGTGGGCCTGGTTAAACACACACACCACTTTTTTTGTGTGCCGGTGTTATCATGTACTTTATCGAATTATAAGTTCCCACATCGTTTTATGCAAAAAAAAAAAAAATTATTTAGTTACGCCTTTTTTGCATTTCTATACATATTAAGGTAACGATATGTATGTAGGTACTCGAATTGAATGTCGTTGACAAAAACTGGTTAATCAAAAATTTACTTCTTAGTTTAAGGGAAAGATTGGTCCTTTTTAAAAACTTAAATTTATCTCAAACCCTAGTCAATTTTATTTGTAAACCACCAACCAAAATGATTTAGTAAAAATTCAAAAAGTTGGAAAAAATTAAAATTAATTAAAATTGCATACCCATAAAATCACCATGTACATTAGAGTGGTCCAAAATAATAAAGTTGAAATTTTAATGCCGCCACCCCCTAGGATTGTTCTGAACCGAAAATAAATATACGCATATTTTTTCATTTTGAAATCAAAAAATATTTAGGGAGTGCTCACAGCGCTCAAAGTTTTCCATGTATTTTATATGGGGAAAAAACAAATTTTCGTAAAAATGGTATACAACTCTTGAAAATCAATATTTTACAATCGTAAAACTGTGGTTCTCTTCAGGAGACTTCAAATATTAATATCCAGTTGTTTATTTAACCATTTTTTATTATTAAAGATTTTTTTATTGGTCCCCCCATTGCATTTTCTAGGACCTATAAAATATAGTTACCATGAAAAAATTGTTAAAGGAACAATTGGGTATTATTACCGGGAACCTCCTGAAGATAAGCAAACTTTTTCGATCGAAAAATATTGATTTTCAAGAATTCTACACTATTTCTACGAAAAGTTGTTTTTTCCCCATATAAAATACATTGAAAACTTTGAGCGCTTTGAGCACACCCTAATTTGTTCTTTTTTTTCAAAATAAAAAAATAGGGGTATATTTTTTTTTGGTATAGAACAATGTTTTTTACATACATTTTTGGACCACTTTAATGTACATACATACATATCGCACACCGTCTTCAAAAGAGTCACAACGCAAAATAATACGTTTGTCAGAAAATGCGAAAAACTATTTCTTAGCACATGATAATCATATGAGCAAGGGCGACTTTACCTTAGGTTGTTTTAACAGATTATAACAAAAATTTGCTCCAGCTTTTGCTGAAAGGTAAAGAAAAAGCTCTGCGTACATTTTTAGTGCATAATCTCAAAAATGCTAAATTGGAAACTCTTTTGAAGACGGTGTGCGATATGTATGTACATTAGACTGCATCACCAAAAAAAGTTGCGATTGTTCTGCCAGGATTACAAAATCTATAATATTTTAAGACGTCCGCCAAAATATTTCGGAAAAATATTAAGATTTAAGTGAGCTGGACCGATTTGAAAAAACCTCCAAAAATGGAGTTTTTTATGAATAAAAATAGTTTGTTAAAGAAATTTTTGGAAAAAGTCCCCTCAGATGACAAAACAGATTAAGCTTAAAAAATCTGCATAAAAATATTTAAAAATCTTTTCAACGGAATCGTAAGAATGAGATTTTTGATTCTGTTTTTTTTTACTTTTTTCAAAGATTGATTTAAAAAATACTTGAATAACTGGGCCAAAACTATTCTTATGGGATCTCGATAGAAAGGTATAAGGGACTATACTTTTATATAAAAATAATGAAAATTAAACAAACAAAAGATAAATAGTCAAAACTGTTTAAAATGTTGAGGCGCTATCGTTTTGTCGCGGGCCGTACATGTTCTACTGCATTGTGCCCCAGCTCAGTGGTTCCCTACTTCTTTGCTCGCTTACTATATTGTATGTTCTTTGCCACTCTTGATACCAAAACAGTGAGAATGTGATTTACATACAAACACGTTTTTCGTTTTTGGTTGATTTTTTTTTGATTTGATTTGATGGTTGGTTTTTGGTTCCTTACGTTACATACGTCCTTTAGATGTAGATAACAATAACGGAAATCAAGAATCGATAACCTTTTTGAACCATAAAGTTAAAAAATCCCGTGTGAAAAGCGGGGATTAGATGTTTGACACATATTCATGAATTTGATCAAAAAATCGTCGGCGTCTTAAAATAGTGCATAGGCTGTAGGTAGTAGGATGAACAACGTTAGCAATGTCTCCCTCATTTGTAGCTCGGTCCTGATCTATGTAGCCCCTTTGAATTTCTCGTGACGATTTTTATTCGGTAGCAAATTCCTACACATTTCCATGAATGTATGTATGGTATGAATGCTTGCACTTTTATGCCGCTTGGGTTATCAAATCGTTTAGTTATTTACCCTTTATAAAGTGCAGACGGTGCTACTTTACCGAGTATAAACTTTTCTGCAATCTCTGCATGGTGTCCAATAACAAATATGTACATATGTACCTATGTATGTATATGTATATTAAGATACGTTAGGATGGACCACTCTCAATAAAAAAAATGGTACTCTTTTTCCATCGGAAATATAAAAAGAATTGTATTTAAATTTTATTGTATTAAAATTTCGAGATTTACGTGAGCTGGACCTATTTGAAAATTTTTTTTTCAGGCGAAACTCAGGATAAGGCAGAATAAATTTTATGATTCCGGAGGAAAACCGCAATTTTCTTTTTATATGTGTATCACTTTAAAGCACATATATTTATGTATAATTTAAAGTTAAAAATAAATAAATTGGTATGCATTCGAGCATGAGCGAAAGATTCGAGTTCATAATAAATAATAAATAAGATATTCATTTTGAGCCTGACTCTTCATTTTTGAATGAGAATGGCGTGTTTATGTTTTGTGCAAAATAAACCGACACGTGTTTTTATATTTCAGCATACCATGCGAAATTTACCAATTACAATTGTTTAAACTTTTGAATTGCGAAAATTGTAAGATGTTTCGAAATGTTGTATTTTTTCAATGATTTATTATACAAAAATTAGAACAGATCCACCAATTTCAACAAAATTTCATAAAAGTTTCAACCTTTTTTATCGTAATTTAAAAAAAAAACCGAGTACTTATGCAGTTTTAAAGCTTACTTATGCAATTTTCGCATAATAAAGTGCACATTTGACAATTAAATTTTTTTCTGACGGTATCAAGCATTTGTTTCCACATAAATATTACTTGCGTACCTCAAATTTTATGGCAGAAACTGGTAAAACTGTCAATAAACAAAATTGCCCTCAGAGAAAGAGAGAAAAACCAAAAAGTACGGAAATGCTTTTCGGTTGCAAACTGGCATTTCTGGCAAATACATCGTAGACGCAATTTTTTTAACATCGCCGTTTTTTACACTTGGCGATTTTCCAAGATATACGCAAATATACAGACAAATAAACAAAAATGCTTACAAAATTTGAGATTAAGTTATTTTTACTAACGTAAAAATGCAGATGTATTTTACTTTTTTTTATATGTACTCAGCTTTCCATTTGTTTGGCCAAATTTTACCAGCAAAACTTCGCAACTTCTTACAAAATGAGAACCTAATGTACTCTTTTATTTGTCCTCTCATTTGCCAGAGAAACGTGCACCGTGAACACTTACTGGCAAATTCTGGTAAAAACTTGCAGCTTCTGGCGAG